GCAAATCGAACAGCGTCTGAGTCGTTTGGATTTACGTCGTAGTGAGTCGGTGCAAAGTCGATCGTCATCGAGGAGACGTAGGCGAACTCGTTCCCGACCAGGAAGTCATCCAGATTGGTGCTTGTATCACGAAAGGTTCGGTGATAGAGCTAATGCTTGTCGGCAGCCCTGTAGTTTTGTGGCAAGCTCTCATCAGTCAAAAAACTAGGCACTCCTTCTACGTCGTCGAGCCGAGAAGGGGTTAGTGTTCGTATAGCTCGACTTAGTATTAAAGATCCCGCCACGTCGACCGTTTTTCTCATTGATACTGGTGCGGACATATCAGTTTTACCGAAGTCGTTCTGTCGTTGGAAGCAAAGGGCTATCAGTGTTGCATCAGTTAATTTATATGCCGCTAATGGTACGCCTATTCAAACATTTGGCGAGCGTCGACTGCTTTTGTCTTTGGGTTTGCGTAGAGATTTCCCGTGGACGTTCGTGATTGCGGATGTTAGCTGTCCTATTGTTGGAGCCGACTTCCTTAATCACTATGACTTGTTAGTGGATTTGAAAAGGAAGCGGTTAGTTGATTCGAAGACGACTTTGATGATGAAGGGTAAGGCTGCTGTGTCTCAAGAAGATACTGTGCGTGTGTGTGGTTCAGTTTCAGCTTATGCTGAGCTGGTTAATGAATACCGTGATTTAGGCGTTATGAGTGCAAATCGGATGGGTTTAGTTACTAAGGTTGAACATTGCATCGAGACATTTGGTGCGCCGTCATTTGCTCGTCCCCGACGTTTAGTTGGAGCCAAACTTGAAGAAGCCAAGAAGGAATTCCAATTTTTAGTCCAGACAGGGATTTGTCAACCTTCGAAAAGCTGTTGGGCAAGTCCACTTCACATGGTTCGCAAAGGCGATGGAAGTTGGAGACCGTGTGGCGATTATCGCATGCTCAACGCGCAAACTAAACCTGATCGGTATCCGATTCCGTTCATTCATGATGTGACGAGTATTCTTCATGGTAAAACTATGTTTTCGAAGATAGATTTGCAGAAAGCGTATCATCAGATACCGCTTGCACTGGCAGACATTCCGAAGACAGCTATTACAACTCCGTTTGGCCTGTTCGAGTTTCGCTTTATGACTTTCGGTCTCCGTAATGCTGCCCAGACGTTTCAGCGTTTTATGAATGAGACTCTAGGTGATCTTAATTTCGTTTTTGCGTACATCGACGATATTTTAATTGCGTCAAAAGATGAAGCAGAACACAGAATGCATTTGCGACTGGTTTTAGATCGACTTAGAGAAACTGGTTTGACCGTGAATTTTGCCAAGTGTAAGTTCGGCTGTTCCGAGATCGAGTTCCTTGGGCACGTTATTAGTGCAAAGGGTTTACGTCCTCCGGAGAGTAAAGTTCAAGCTGTTCGTGATTTTCCTCTGCCAGCAACGGTTAAACAGCTTAGACAATTCTTAGGCATGGTGAACTTTTATCGGCCGTTTCTGCGTAACGCTGTGCAGAATCAGCAGCGGTTGTTTCATCTTACACCAGGTAACCGCAAGAATGATAAGTCGGTGATTTCTTGGACTCCAGAAGATGTAGAGGTTTTTGAGGCTTGCAAGAATGATCTTGCCCAAGCTACGTTGCTTAACTTCATGGCTCTGGATGCACAATTGACGCTCACGACTGATGCTTCAGACGTTGCGGTGGGTGCTGTTCTCCAACAGGTAGTGAAAGGTGTGACTCAGCCATTGGCATTTTATTCAAAAGGTTTGAGTCCAGCGCAGACTAAGTATAGTGCTTATGATCGTGAGTTGACTGCTATCTATCAAGCTGTCCAGCATTTTAAGTATGCATTAGAGGGACGTGATTTCGTCATTTTTACGGATCACAAACCATTAACGTTTGCGTTCAGGCAAATAAGTGAGAAGGCATCTCCTCGTCGTGCAAGACAGCTGGAGTTTATTAGTCAGTATTGCACTGATATTCGTCATCTGGCTGGTGCAGATAATACGGTGGCTGACTCTTTGTCTCGGGTTGCTACGGTTCAGTTGGAGGCAAATGTTATTGAGTTAATTGCTGAGGGGCAGAAGACTGATGCAGAGTTGCTCGCTCAGCTGAAGAGCCAGTCTGAAGATGGTGTTGGGTTGAAGAAGTTGAGATTGCCGGATTCGAGTATTGAACTGTACTGTGATGTGTCAGGCAGTCGTGTTCGTCCTTTTGTTCCCGCAAACTGTCGGCAGCTGGTACTCTCAAAACTCCACGGTTTGGCTCATCCTGGTATTCGAGCAACGCGGAAATTGGTGCAGGCTAGGTATGTTTGGCTTGGTTTGGTTAAGGATGTAGCTGTGTTTGTGCGTAGTTGCATTGCGTGTCAGAAGTCCAAGATTCAGCGGCATACTAAAACACCAATTGGTTCGTTTGCTGATATTGATAGTCGGTTCCAGCATGTTCATGTTGACATTGTGGGTCCATTGCCTTTGTCTCAGGGGAAGCGTTATTGTTTGACTTGCGTCGATCGTTTTTCTCGGTGGCCTGTTGCTGTGCCTCTGTCGGGCATTACGGCAGAAGAAGTTGCAGCGGCTTTTATCGACGGTTGGGTGGCAAGTTTTGGTTCTCCGCAGGCTATTACCACTGATTTGGGTCGGCAGTTTGAGTCTGCTGTATTTCGGGAACTGACGAGATTGCTTGGAGTGAAACACTTTCATACCACGGCTTATCATCCTCAAGCAAATGGTATGGTTGAACGTTTCCATAGAACATTGAAGGCAGCCATTCGATGTCATTCCTCAAGTAATTGGACGCAGTCTCTTCCGCTTGTGTTGTTGGGATTGCGAACGACACCGAAACTAGACCTAAATGCTAGTCCTTCAGAGATGTTGTTTGGAAATCCTCTTTGTGTTCCAGGGCAGATGCTTTCGGATTTCAAGCAGAAGTCGTCCGAGACTGATTTTGTGTCGGCGTTGCGAAGGGCTTTAGCTAAGGTTAAATCCGTTGAATCAACAAGACATTGTCATCCATCTGTGTATGTTCCGCGTGACGTTATTAATTGTAAGCACGTTTTTCTTCGAGTGGATCGTGCTCGAGCTCCACTTGAGCAGCCTTACGAAGGTCCATTTGAGGTGCTGAGTCGTAATGAGAAGACGTCTGTTATTGTTTGCCGTGGGAGAGAGGTGACTGTTTCGAATGATAGGTTGAAGGCGGCGTACTTAACGTGTGATGATCTTGAACAGGTTGTTCCAGAATCGCGTCAGCCTTCAGCGCTGTTGAATGGTGATCAGGTAGTGACTTCTGGTGATTGTAGGCGTGAATCCCTGTTGCCGATTCCGAAAGTGACACGAGCTGGTAGAGTAGTGCGTTTCCCAGCAAGGTTAGCGGAATTTCGTGATTAAGAGTGGTGTTGTCGACTTAGTTGTGGTGTCGCGTTGTTGCTAGTACTCCATCGCTAGGAGGGGGTACTGTGGCGACCCAGTTGGCTGTGAATTTATTGAATTTAAAAAGTAAAATTCAATTTCAAATATTTTTAAGTTTTTTGTTTTGATTGAGGAGAACGTTCCGATTTTTCTCTCTGTAAAAAGTTGAATAAAAGTTTATTAACATTGAAAATTTTTAGAGTTTTATTAATTAGCAAGGTGAACAGATCATTGCTAAATTACTATTAAAGTTATTTTAAAATTTATTTAAAAGTATTATAAAAATATTTACAAAAGTTATTAAAAATTACAATTAGGTATATAAAATTACAATTATTTAGATATTATTATAATATTTATTAAAGTCATCAAACACATTATTAAAGTTGTTTATAAACATTTTAATAAATATATTTTTAAGTATAAGACTTTAAACCTTATTAATAATTAAAAAGAAAATAATATTTATATTTAAAAATATATTATAAAGATATTATTAAAAAAACTTGTCAAAAAAGTATTCATAGAAATTAATTAAAAATATTTTAAAAACGTTTTTAATAACATATTAAATAATTTTTATATTTATATTTGTAATGCTAATTATAAAATTATTAGTAGTATTTTCTATAATAGTTTCACCAACACTTTATATTTTTAATAGTTATAACTATAATTTTAATAATATTTTAAATAATGTTTTTATAAACATTTTTTATATTATTTTTCATATTTTTATTTTAGATAGCATTTTTTAAATATATTTTATATATTCAAAAACATTTGTAAAAAATTTTAACTAACGAAACTATAAGAAATATATTTCTTCATTTTATTTACAATCATAATATTGTAAATAATATATTGAATAATATTTTTAATTATATTTTTAATGAATATAATATTAATATTAAGATTATTGTTCCTGAAATATTGAAATATATTCAAAATATTTTTTTAAAAAATAGTAAACATTTTATGAAAACTATTTTGATATTATTGTTATTAATTTTATTAAATTTGTTTATTAATTTCATTAAAAATATTTTGATATTATTGATATTATTTTATTATTATTCGTATATTAATCTATATTGGACATATAATAAATATTTATATCATTCCTAATTAATCCCTAATTAACATAGGGAACCTACCTTGAAGTATTCATGATAAAGTTCTGGGCATACTACAATGACATTGTGACAAGGCATTTCTCTCCGCACCACAAAAATAATTAAATTATTATTTAAAATTAAAATTATTTATTTACAATATTATTAATAAAGAGGTTTTCGAACAGAAGTGAAACAACAACAAAAATTTATTTTTTAAATTATTTTAATTAATTGAATTTTTGGCTGACCAAAAATTTTCGAGTATTGCCAAATACCCTTCATCAGTGGTCTTGGAAATATTATTAATGTGATTAATATTAATTATTACTGTTTTTTTATCTACCATAATACAACATTTTAACATATTCTTTTGTATTATTATTAATAACATTAAAAAAAAAAATATAGTTATTAACATTATTATAAGTAAATGTGGAAAGTATAAAGTTCTGTCCAAAATAAAAAATAAATTTAGGTGGATTGATGTTAATTTATTATTATCCGAAAATATATCAAAAAAATGTGTTGACAATTTATTGTAGAAAATATAATTTGCATCTATTTTGTATTATTCGTACAATGTAGGACCTCTGTATTAAGAATTTTGTTTCTGCGTAAAAAATGTATACACCCTTCCAGAATGTGCTCAGGTAATCTTAAAATTATATTATTTCTCGAATATATATATCCGCTAAAACGAACTGTCTCAAAGCCCTCATTTGAACCATCAACTAGAACACCTCGATTGCGAATAGTTAATGAAGCAGTGCATGCCATAGAAATGCTGGAATCATTTTTATCATCATTCTCATCTGAGATTGTATCGCAAGCGATGAAATGGTTTAAAAAGGTGTTGCTAGTTGGAGAAGCAGAAACGCAAATAGGATAGGGCTGTAGGGCTGAAAGGTTTGCCTCTGAATTATTGCATGATGTATATAAACTACAGTTGTTCACCAAATTTGGAAAATTTGTGTTCTTTAAATTATTTACGAGAACCATGGCTTGATTTCTAAAATTCCTAACGATTGATTCCATCGAAGATCTTCTATCATTCGACTTTTGCGTATTAATGGAGTCATACTCACGTTGTGGTAATACGTGTTGTCCTGTCTCCCATGTAACACCGAAATTCTGTGGGTAGATAACTTTATATTTAATAAGATTTTTCATTATAGCACGACTAAATTTAGTATATTTAATTTCATCTTACTTACCACGTCATTTCCACAACTGCATTTCAAAAAAGTTTGTGACGTCTGTACTCCTCGGGACTGTAGTACAACTTTATGAGACTTTTGTAAAGTGATTTCCTCCAGGTCATGCAGTTTTAATTGTGACGTGCTACTAGTACTTTTAAAGGTCTCGAGTTGATTTGATCTCTCATTAAACTGCTGCATTTCATCACTTGGCTGACCGATTCTTTTCAAATGAATCGAATTATACACTTTTATGCGATTTTCTGATATCTCATTTCTGTAGGTGCTACACGCGTGTTCGGGCATACTTACGAAGATATTAAAACGTTGGGTTTCTTGTGACTCATCAAGCACTGATTCAATTAAATCTTCCGTATCAGTCAATCGCTTTAAATTGTCCACATTTCGATTTTTGCACACCACTAATGCTTGATCAGATATTTTGTTTGGAACGCATCTAATAGACCTTTCAGCAATTTGCATCTTACCATCACAACTTAACTGGGTTGAATCGCTATTCAATTTACACTTTTTAGCAATCTCATATCCGTCAGTACAATTTTTATTTTGGGATAACTCGGTGATCTTCGTTTGGCTTAGTTCTTCAGCAGATATGTATAGTTTGGCTTTGTTTGGCTTTCGATAGTTTTTGTGTTTATAGTCCCAAGGTATGATTATGGCTTCACCACACCTTTTAAATTCTTTGTGGTGTGCCTTTTCACCTTCCGATTGACTTGGTTCTTCAGTAGCAGTAAACTGATTAGCTTTGTGCATATTTAAATAGGTCGACTTCTGGTTCTTGTGTAGTATTGAGGGTTTGCCACACTTCTTTGTCTTAACGAATTTATCGCGCTGCTTTAATGGTTCATGTACTGCTTCTCCGGTACCAAATTCAATACAATTTTCAAAACAATTGGATTGCTGTTTACCTAACATTGGATTTGCTTTATGAGAACTTTTTATTCTCACAAACTTTTTAGCCTGCTTAGCCGTATGTGTTTTTTTCTTACATTTACACCGACATATATTATTATTTTTATAGTTATTAGATTGTGGATTTTGCAACATACTAGCGTTTCTTTCGTTAATAAAATGTACCGACTTCTTTGTATGAACTAAATTCTGAAAGTCAGACTCATTCAACGCTCCACCAAACTCATTTAAATGATTTGAAGTATTAAGACTTTTACAATTTATCTGTTGGTTGTCACAAATTTCCTCTCCATCTTGATCTTCATTTTCTATTGAGATATATTCTATTGAGATTCCTGTTTGTAAGTACGTTACGGAATCATTTATATGAGCTGATTTCTCTAAGTCAGACTCATTTCTTTCTCCACCAAACTGATTTAAATCATTTGAAGTATTAAGACGATTACTAGATATATGTTGGTTATCACAAATTTCCACTCCATCTGGATCATCATTTTCTATTGAGATATATTCTATGGAGGTTCCTGATTGTAAATACATTACGGAATCATTGTGCTCATCATCGTCTTCGTAATTTTCACCTTCAACCTCATTTTGAGAAAAGTTGATTTTATATATGTAATTATACTGCTCTACATCTTCTGCTAAGTAGGCATTAGCGGCAGCTATTTTTTCTTTAGAGGCTTTAGAACGATGTGGTGTTTTTAGCTTATCAATTTTTTTTAAAATCTTAAACGGTTTCTTTATGTGATGATTATTAAATTTACTATTGCCTTTCATACTTCCCGATGAATGTAAAAAATAAGAGGAATGTACTACATTGGCGTTTTTTCCATTATCCATACCTTGTAATTGTTTGGAAAAACGTCTTTCAGGACTATTTTTAGTACATTCTTCAACATCTATACAGCATTTATCAATAGTTATAGAATCATTTAAGCATGTGGAGTTTTTATTGGTAAAGGGAACATTATCATAAGTACAATTCGTATGATTTCTATAATTTTTAAGATCTTGATCGGATTTAATTTTCACCAATGTAGACCCATTATTTAACATATCCGTATACTGATTGCAGCTGCTTTTGAGATTTGCATTACTATTACAACGTTTGTTCTTGAAATAACAGCAGGATGTCTCATTTAAGCTGCCAAACTCATTGTTATGCCCACCATAATCAGGACTTAATGATTTTACGTAATTACTGGTATCGAGTTGCAAGCAAGATCTATATACAGATTCTCCTTTTGGTTTGTAAAAAGCCCCAGTGCCATTTAATTGCTTTGACACACTTCGTTTAATGTTGTTATTATTCATAGTAACATCTAACACATTTTTGTTCGACATGCATGACACACTGAACTGATTAGTATTGCTTTCTCTTAACGGAACATTTTCAATAATATAATTCCCAGACATCCTCTGATTCCTTAGCGGTCTTTCGCATTCAATTATTAATTTTGACGAGGCAGATGTACTGAGTGTGTTCTGACTGCTGTTGTTCTTCATTTTTGCATAACCGCAACAACGTTTAAGCTCTACAGAATCCTCTAACATATGTTTCATTTCTCCAAGTTGCCTACAAGATACTGAATATCGACAGCATTCGGTATTGGAATTGTAAAGCAGATTCTTAGATTTCGTAAATTTAGTTAATGACCCAGAACACATTGCACTGTTTTTTCTATCGCTTTCTTTAGTATACTGAGCTACTAAATCGCGGTAGTTACTCATTTTTTCATTTATTACAACTCCATGACTTATTGGAAAGCTATTAGAATCATTATATTCACCTTCGTGTGTATTTATCTCTTCATCAACAAAATTCTTCACTTCCGACATAAGGTATTCGCGGGGTATTTGGGAAGAATTATGATAATTACCTTTAACTCCTTGTGCCTCTAATGTTTCATGCATATGAGCATTCATTTCCAATGCAAAGGTGTTATCACTTATTGTGGAGTCATCGGAAGTATCTATATCTTCACGAGTCTTCTGTTGTATAGCGTTCTTCTTTATCTTCTTCCGCAAAACTCGTTTACGACGACGACTAGCTTCCATCATGTACATTTTTAACAGTTATTTTTTTTTGCAATTAATTTTGTTGGAAATCTAAATTTTAGGGAATATCAAATGTTTAAGTTTATAATAAAAAATGTATTTTCTAATTTTCGTTGTTAATTCATGTCATACCTACGTATTTTTTGATGCAGTTATATTTTCTATTAAAATGGTTTAAACAAATAATCTAAAGTTTAATCTAAGATACAAAGCAATCCCATCCAAAAATGCTGTTATCATATTTCGCAATTTCTATTTAAAATTTCTTCATTCAAAACAAATTTACAAAGCCACCTTAAAATTATTGCATTGTAACACAAACGAAAAATTAGAATAACTGAGACGAGCAAATGACATTTAAAGTTTTTTTTTTAGTAAATAATTTGACGTTTCATATTTACCTACTACGTATCAAAGAATATTTATAGACGCTTTGCATACAGCTTATTAACCGTTTACACCACACAATTAACAGTAGGGCAATGCTTAAGCAGCTTAAGTACCCTACAGGCACTCAAACTATATCGAAAACATTGTTTAAGAATTAAGCCTACAGACACTACGACTTTTCTGCAGATTTCATTTTAAAACCATATATAATCAACAAAAAGTCCTATTTGATAGCACTTTTTCTAGAAATCGTAAATTTTAGACAAACATTTTTTAATTACTTAGTTAGTTGGTGCTATTTCATAACAAGCATTTTAACATATTAATAAAATTATTTGAGAAGTTTTTAAATTTATTTGATTAGCATTAAAAACTTTTTAAATAAATTTACAGTTAATATATTAAAACTAAAAAAGTTATAAATATTGTTAAATTTTGTACTAAATGCTTGCCAACATTGGATTATTATATGGTCCACATAACTAGAAAATTTATATAAGATTGATAGACGTATTAAAGTTGATATCTCTAGAATTTTAAAACTGAAATTTTTTCTTGGGTATACGGTAAATATTGAAAACTGACGACCCTTTCCTATATGATTTCTATCATTATATGAAGCTAGCAATCGTGCTTATATGAAATTTTTGTTTGGTGATAAGTTTCTTTTACACCATTTACCAAGATAATTATTGAACATTTATGACCCCATTCCATGCTACTTATAACATTATATGCAGCAAGGAATCACCTCATGCATTTATTGTACATTATAAGGAAATACCACGTATTAAATATTCTTAAATATTTATTAACTATTTAAATATTTACCAAATTGTTTAGTTTAAGAGTTCAAAATTAATAATTAAATTTATTTGTATAAAAAATGTGTTATATTATTATTATTATTATTGTTCTGATATCTCTGATATGGCACTGCGACCGTCGGGTCTATTATATCCCCTTCTGGATTACGAGTAGGTCTCTAAGCTCTGTTCCGTCAATAAAAAGTGGTATAAAATATACCTTACAGAGCTTTATTGTCTCTTCCGTAAGAATATACATACCCAAGGACCTATTCCGTGAGTGCATAAGCGCAGCATAATGAGAGCATTATTTATAAGGCATAAATAACCGCACATTTAAAATTAAGTGTTTACACTTAACAAATCAATAAACGGACAGCGAAACAAAACAAAAAAACAAATTCAGAAAATTTCAGAATTTTCTGAATTTGCAGAATTATTTTGAAAGTTTCTGTAAATAAATTGGGACTAATTGCTACACAATTATCGAAATAATTGCGATATTCAAAGTATGAACGTATAATGAAAGATTTAACACATACAAACTTTTTATTCACTTACTAAGTGTACTGCTCTGTTAAAGCGCGAAATAATAATAAACTCTTTAAATAAATAATATATTTCAATTTATATTATTATTTATTTATTATTTTTATTTTTTATTTATCATATTTTTCTTTATTTTTATCTTTTGTATTAAATTTAGGTTTGATTTCACTTATGATATATTTTAAGCTAAAATTTTTATTTGGAAACCTTGCCATATCAATGCTATGACTGGTATCTTTACGAGGCATCTCAATGAGAGTACTGGATTTTATCTTAGAAGATCGCAGCCAACTTGCATACAGTTTGCCTTTGTATAGTTGAGTCTTTTCATATTATTTGCTTATATCAACGATATGCCCAGATGTTCCAAGTAGTTATCTCATCTGAAAGTAAGTGCTTGTTTGGTTCAGTTACCGCTGGTACAAATTGCGGCAACGGACATCCGCATGTTCGGTGGAAGAACTAGCCGACTAAGAATATGATCCTGCTTGGCGAATTAAATCAGGTGTTGATTCTTTGGGTACCGAGACATACTGGCATACGCGGAAACAAATACGCTAACAAAATAGCTAGGAAAGGAGCAGTCACACCGATAATGGGGCCAGAAACTAGAATCATCACAGCAATCCTAACAGGGCACTGCAAATTAAAATATCACCTTACAAGACTGTGTATACTTACGGATACAAACTGTAGATTCTGTGAAGAGAATGAAGAGACGACCACATATATGCTGTTAGAATGTCCTGCGCTAATGCACATACAGAATAGACTTCTGGGAATGTATATTCTTACGGAAGAGGCAATAAAACTATGTAAAGTAGGTTTTATACTACATTTTATTGACGCAACAGGGCTTAGAGACCTGCTCTTAGCTCATAACGGGGCACAATAAACCCGACAATCGCAATGCCACGACTTCTAACAACAATAATAATAATAATAAACGACAGTCACTGATCGTGTTGGCTTCAGGAGGCTGGTGGATGCAACCAATGACGACTCACGTCTGTAATAGGCAACTAAGTTAGTATATATAATTGGGTTCCCTTATATTTTTATTTTAAGATCTAAAAGCAATAGCGAGATTTTCTTTCCTTTGATTATAAGTTAAAAAAAAAGAGTCGAATATGTAAAATTAATAATTCTTGGTGGAATTATTAGTATTTGCCCCAATCGTGGATGTGTCATTACTCATTAATCGAAATGACTAAGCCTCATGACTCTTACTAAATGTTAGTATAGCAAGAATTGTAGCTAGAATGTGAATTGTCTTGCATTGTAAAAATTCTCAAATTCACATAAAAAAAAAATTCCTAACAAAAAAAAAGCTTAAATCGCCGAAAAACTCATATTTGGTCGCAGTCAAGTAAACCAAATGCAAAAAAAAAAATAAAAGAAGAGAAGAGAAGAAAAAAACAATTAGCTGAGCTAATTTTAACCTTGAACTTAAGCGTGCCTTAACCCTGGATAAGGTTGCTGTTGATATGTTGTGTTTCTAAATTATTATATGCATTAATGTATGTATGCCTGCGCGTACGTGTGTATGTGTGTATGTATATATCGACATTTGTGTGCGCGTGTGTGAAATTTGCACCTTCCGCACGAGTAAAAGTACACACGAATACTATAGCCACACACATACTTACGCACACACAAACGCAGATTAATAAAATACGATATTAAGAAAATAACAACAAAAAAGTTAAATTAAATGCAAGAGTTGTGTGTTGTTGTTGTTGTTGTTGGCGGTAATTAAGTGGAGCTTGTCAGCGTAACGCATCACCGGCAGTTATGTCGGCGATGATACTGCAGTTATGTTGGAGGTTTTAAATGTTAATTAACTAAAATTTGTTTGAAAAAATAAATTAATGACAATAATTTTAATTTTATTATTACATATTGCGCTACCGTGAAATTTTTCTGTAGCAATGAGAAGTGAGTTTGTAATGAAGCTTCCACTGCAGTGGCAACTAATCTTTTGAAGTGTATGAATCACAAGCGTAGCCAGACATAACACCAGGGAGGAGTGACTGGAGTCTAGGTTCACTTGTTACAAAACATTGTTCTTACATAAATTTGCCTATACTTTTACTAACCTTAAATTAAATTTTTAAGAGAGGTATTTCCCTGTAACCCCACTTTTCATTATAAAATATTATTTGGGCATATTTTTGGAAGAAAGAGTGTCAACGCCTCATAATAAATCTCACCCATCTCTAATCCATTCTTACTGTTAAATAAGCCCCTTCCCTCATGTATACACATTGATAATCCCTTGCAGGCTAGAACAGAAACAACAATGCCTCATAGTCCTGTGCTTGTTATGCCCCTAAAAAGTAGTTATGTATACGGATTTATATTTGCTTTCATGTTATCTGCGTTATAGACCCTTACAGATTACAACACAGAAATAACAATACCTCATAGTCCTAAGATTGTTATGTCTATAAAAAGTAATTAGTAATCCGATTTGTATTTAAGCTTATAAAAATTTTTGTCTCATTTTAGATATAGGTTTTTTCCCGTTTAATTAAGAGATGACTCCAATAAAAATATGCAGCATATTAATTTGACATATACATCATTTTGTTCGTCTCACATTGAATTACATACCCACACAGATTAAGTCCACCGAAAACCAACGTCACGCATTAATCGAAAGGTAACCGAAAAGGGCAAAAAGTCATGGCAAAGTGATTTTGTTACTGCACAATAAGCCATCTCACAAAACAAAATCTGAAAAATACCTTGAAATCACTTGGTTAGGATATCTTTTCGCACCCGCCATAGTTCTGCATACAGACTCGTGTCTTAACGAAGTTCAAAAAAAACATTTTTTTTATTTATCCAGATTTAGTCCTTTATCAACCTAGTCTTGTCCCAAACAACCAATTTGGATTTATTGGGCAAAATAATGCAATTCCACAGTTGCATAGAGTATTAAACAAAACCTCTATGGGCATAGACGGTAAAAACTTTACTGTAGCAATGTACTTAGATGATACTCAACCCTTTGATAGCAAACTTTTATATAACAAACACGGCTTCAACATTGAAATCATCGAAAAAAGAAACAGAACAAATCGATTATATCAGTTCATAAGTCCTGTTCTAATAAAAAGATTCTAGAAAAAAATTTTAACATTGAATTGGTACTATTTACAATATAAAGAAGCTACGTAGAAAGCAGATACTTTTATATAAAATGTAAAGAAAAAATATCAGTAATATAAAAAAAGTTAATACTAGAGTAAGACAGGGTAGTGTACTTGGTCCCGTCCTATATATTTTTTATACAGATACATCAGATACATCAACTTTAAACCACGATATGATAGCCACATTTGCTCACGACGTAGCACTGTTACCGACACACAAGAATATTGACACGACTCGAAAAAGTCTACAAATTCTTATATATATAGTAATTGAATGATTAACAAAAAGTGGAGCCTAAATAGAAAGTGTATATAATGTTTATTGACAGTACTTAAATTCATACTAAAACAAAAGGTGATTATTTTCGAATGACAATAGTTCATATTTTAAG